CTGTACAACGCATCCACCTTGCGTCTGGGCAGAGGCAACATTGACAGTGACCTGTTTCTGGACTGAACGCATCTACACATCTACTGTACTGCTACATCTGTTCTCTTTCTTTTCTTTTCCCGTTTACAACCGTTTTTTGTGCAATATATGCCAGGGACCTGTGCAATACATTTATATTTATATCTATAACTATATTTATATTCATATGTGTGATACGATTTTTCTGCGTACTGTTCTGTTCTAGTTTGTTCTTTGTGTGTCCGGACTGTGAGTAACTCTTTTAGTGCACCCCTCACTGTACTGATTGTATTGTATGTATTGTACTATTATTATTATTGTATCATTCATTACACTGTGGCTGTGTTGTCTGTGTTAAGCTGCTGTTGCACTGCAATTTCCCTCATGGGATCAATAATGTATCTATCTTAACAATGGTTTCTTTACAGCAATTCTTTCTGGTAGGCCAGCTTCACGTACATTAACCTCCTCTGAACATTTGATGTTGAAACATCTGTACTTCTAGTTGCATTGAGCTAAGCTTTTATTTCTGGGACAGTTCATTTAGTGTTTTAACACCATGTTATACACATTTCTGACTTTTAACTAACCTGGACTTCAGACTGAAATCCGCTTGCTCTGGGTGTTCATTTAATTGAAAATGAAAAATTAACATTTTGAATGTAGTTTATATAAGATTATAAGTACACATATCATGTAATTGAATATTGAGTGTTTATAGACAAGTTTATACAGTTTAAAGCACAGATAATCATGAAAAACCTGGTTTTAAGCAGGTGTACTTGTTACACTTCCAACATCCCGCTACCAGAGGACACCCCAACTAAGAGCTAGTACTTCATCCCCGCATTAACTCATCACCACGCCTCCCCTCCAGCCTATTTAAACCTTGTTCCCTGTTCTATCAGTGCTCAGTATTGGTTCAAACTTTGTGAGCTACAGATTGTATGGCAATACCTTCTCTGGAATATTTCTTGGTTTGTTTTGGACTTTTGGCTACACTTTTGACCATGATTTTCGATATTTGTCTTTGAATCCTTTTGCTACCTTTTTCCTAGTATTTTGGCTCTTGACCCTTTTGCTAGTCTTTGACCATGACCTTGGATTTCCCTGTTACTTTAGTGTCTTGTTACATCTTGCCCGCATAGGGTCCATCCCTTGCTAATCACTGCCCTGCAGCACAACAGTACTCAAACTTTTGACTGGTACTGTACTGTTATTGAGAAACCATAAGAATTTGCCACATGATGTGATGCATATGATTTGCTTGATAGTCAGAAATTGATGGAATGATTTCTTACATTCCAAGAGCAGACCCCCACCATTTCATATTTATTTTACAGTGTTATACTTTCTTGCAAGTTCTTCGTCTCTATTAAATTAACATTATAAGTGATGTCTTAGCAATATATTTTATAATATTGTGTACAATTTTGATTTACACATTGCAAAACTAAGATTTTATTGCTGCTCTGGAATCAATTCAAGGAGAGTTGTAAAGAAATGTCATACTCAGGCAGATTAGAAGAACAGAATTTTGTGAATCATGATAAGAAGAGAGTATGACTGGACATATTTAAGGTTCCAAAAGTATCAAAGATATTGATAAGGCCAACCTAGAGATCCACTTCATGATCTAAATGGAATATCAGACGTTTTTGGTCCTAAATGCACTGCAAACCAGTCATGACACAAAGGATTGATAATGTTTAATGTTTCTTTATTAGCCCTATACAATTTCTTGCATTAGTAATTCTTCTTTTCACATACCCCAGCTGAGTCTGATGAGACACAGACAGGGAGAGAAGATTGGGGTCAGAGCACAGGGTCAGCCATTATATGGCACCCCTGGAGCAGCTGGGGTTAAGGGCCTTGCTCAGGGGCCCAACAGAGTAGGATTCCTCTGCCAGCCATGGGATTTGAACCGGCAACCTTCCAGTCACAGGTGCAGATCCTTAGTCACAGAGCCACTGCTCTGCCCCATGTCTGGAACAAGCTACCTAGCCATGCTGTTCAAGCAAATTTAGCACCCTTTAAAAGGAGCTGGATGTGATTGTCTCATCTGTATTCAATCCAAAGCTGATGAATACTAGTAAAAATGTAAACTGCTGAAAATTTCAAATCTTGTAAATTAGAAAATCATTCTAAAGAAAAGGTGGGAAAGAAATCTTTAATAGTTCTTTTTTAATGGTTTTAATGAAGGAAGTATATTAGATTGAACAAAAACACATTTTAATGTCTTCCTGGCTTCTCATTGTTCAGTAAAATATTTGAGTAAATAATTTATTCTCCTGAATAGAATTAAAATTGAGGCACATATTATATTTAAGGAACAAGTAATAGGTTTATTCCATGGTGAAAAGAGAAGAAATAAAACACCTAAAGAAAGCTCCACAGCCTAAACGTTGTGTTTTCTTTCTTCTCTTGTCAGCATGGAATAAACCTATTACTTGTTCCTTTGCAGACTATGCAGGCTGAAGCAGCTACCCACCTGAAATACTAATATATTAAAGTATATAATGAATCTAAAGAATTGCTGAAAAAAAATTACACATGAACTCTTATGTGGATGGTTCATTATGATGTATTATAATTTAAACAAGGATTTTAAAAAAATGTCAAACCTGCATGAAGATAATGCAAAATAAACACATGTACTGTAGTGTTTCTACAATAAAAGTATTGTTTAACTTTTGACATTTTATAACAATGATTTACTACAGTTCACTGTATTTAGTGTAAACTTGCCATCTCCGATAAGCATTGACTTTGCATTACTAGCAGTAGCTTCAAACTTTAAGCTTTCATCTTTACAACTGTGTTAAAGGGTAGTCAGAGATCACCATTTGCTGAAAGCAATTCATTAAACATAATGTTTAAAACCTGAAGGATTCCCTGTCTTACCAGGAGAAAACAGTGTAATGAAGTTTATAATGAAAATTTGGGAGGGTTTAACAACAGTCAACCTCAATCAGTGGTTTGTGATCATTCTTGACTCACTTCCTTACATAAAAAATCTAAAAACTATATGTAATTCTGTTCTCTCCCTTGCATATGAATTTTGCATCCCTCCTCCACCCCATCTTCATCTTTGCAGCTCCCCCTTGGTCACTCTTCACTCTGCATGAGGGTCATAGCCTCATCCTATAGCCAAGTGGTCGGCCCCTAGCCAGGCAGATAACGTCAAATTTATCCTGACTGAAACACTCTATATATCTTTCAGTAAGCTTAATTCTTTGGTGTTGTTATTCCTAGTGAATTAAGTGAAATGTCTGAATGTAAGAACGTCTTTCTGTTTGTTGTACATACATAGGAAGTAAATGTGAACCCATTGCCAAAGGCTGCAAGCTGTTTGCAGACCTCTTGCTTTTCACCTCAGTGAAAAACAAGCTGAGCCGTGCCTCCAGGCATGTCAGCACATGTCTTAGAGAAAACACTGGAAAATGAGAATAGGTCTTATCAAGGGTCTTTCCTGTTAGCAGACGCTTGGGAGTCTAAAATTGCTGTGGAAGGAAGAGGTTAATAATGGTCCATGTTCCATAAACACCATTCTGTGTCATTATTTACATATCTTCCGATTTGTGTTACTTTGAGGTTAAGCTGGGTGCAGCCTGTCATGTGAGAACATGTTTAGATATCTATCAGAATAATATGCTAATATACAGTACAGTAGGTAAAAGAGAACGTCTTTGTAGCTCAGGAGAAAAATGGAATGGTAAGCTTCAGCTCATTTAACATCCTTTTTTATTTGTTTTATTTATTTAAAAAATAAATTCCACCTTACTTCTTTGGCATGTCAACAAAATACTTGACATGCTTGCTGCCGATAATCTTCACAACTACTTCTGGGGTTGAATCAGTTCCAAAAGGAGCATTCTTTGCTGCCATTTCTTTTTTCTCCAAATGAAGCGGTTGTCTGGGGACAAAATGTTTTAGGCATCATGTTGTTTCATCTAATTGTTTCACATTGCAATTGTGCAGCTCAAAGACTGTCTTGTAACAACACCAGTAGAGTGGTGAGAAAAAAATCTAAATTACTGGCAGTTATAGTACGAGTTCTTTCTAATCAGACTATCATCAAATATTCAAATTTTAGGTACAAAACTGCAGATAATTGAAGCACTTGCTTTGTCATTGTCACATTTCTGAAATCTTAAATGGTGGTTCATTAGAGGTTATGCTACTCTTATACCCAGCTAGCCTTCCTGTCTCTTTAAATCTGACACATCTACCACTTAAATATCAAGTTGAACAATGATTTTTTAAAGTTATGGTTGTAATACACCAGTGTATTATCTAAATAATACAAGGCACTTGCAGGATTTTTTACATGTACTGTAAGTAATAGGAACGACAAAGCAAAATCCTGCATTCAATTAAATCAACAGATATAATGGTCTAACATGAAATCTTAAAACAAATACTTTCAGGTCCTCATTCTTTGTTGTACTTACGTATGCAAGAGAACCACCCAAAGAGAACAAGGTGCTTTAAAATGAGAAAAATAATAGAAAACAAAATGAACATCAAATGGAGCTTCAGTGTTTCTGTGAGGTAATGAGAAAAAATATCTCTAGACCAATTAATGAAAGCGCGTCCCTGTGTACTCTCTCTGCACCATGGTTACCCTGATTAAACCTGCCCTAGTGAATTACCCAAAGATAGAGTACTGCATTTGCAGCTAGAGAAGATGTCTAGTTGGAGCTGTGTATTTCCTGTCAGAGCATTAGTTTGATATATAAATTTCCGTCCTGTTTATGACTGAAGTCACCATGGCATTTAAGAATACAGAGAACTATGACTGATACTTCACCACCAAGACAAGTGAACTCAAAATGAAATAAAAAATGTAGTATCAGGGCAAGTGGTGGAAGAAAAAGAGTACACAAACTTTTTGTACAAATTTTACAGTTGACCTGTAATTTTTAAAACAAGTAACCAAAATAACTTTTCTTCCACTTCGTAATAAATTAAAAAACTACCTGTTAGCAGTTATAACATTTTAACAAACTTCCCTTGCAATGCTAGACATGCTGTATACAGTACCTAATTTTAGCAGCACTCAATATCAAATTTCTAAATTTACACTCAACACAACTCTTTATGGGTAAGGGTGCTATGTCTAAAATATTTCATAAACCGAAAAGGACGCTTTATGTTAGCCAGCTAGTCATGATTTTATCCATTCTGCATGCATGCTTTTTTTCAACAGGTTAGACAAATTCTAATAATGACATGAGACAACAAATTTAAAGGGTACTTAATACTTTTGCATTAACTCACCTGGATGAGGAAATAATAGTGCTGGCCATATATTGTTGCTGTTGAAGAAAGATCTGAAGACAGGGGTTTGAATTTAATCCTTTCTGTATGAGGTTTAGACTTCTAAGTCACAAGCTGGGGTTTATGGCAGGAAAGGGGGTTAACTGATAAGGACTGCAAACGCAAGCTAGGAACCCCCCTGGGTGTAATCTTAAACTGACCATTTGTCCAGAACATCGTAAACTGGCCAAATACCATGAACCCCCCTCTTTACCATCAGACCGAGTGACGTCAGAAACGGAGAAGAAGACACTACTGTATATAAACCAAAAGTTTGTAACAGTACGGGGAACAATACTTCGGTTTTGTTGTTTCTTGCGGGAAACAAGACTTCGGCTTTATTGTTCCTTGCATGCAATAAACTCATCTGTTTTACTTCATCTCGGGATCAAGAACCTTATTTCTTCTGTTACAACAAATTTGGCGTAGTCAGCGGATGCTCCAGAAGGCGCGGAACTTCCCAGCGGCAGGAGAGACGGTCAGCGCGCATATTACTAAGAGGTAAGGACTCCTCTTTTATTTAAAAGTCCTGACTCTCTCTGACCGATTGGAAAGTCTCTGCTCCCTGCGAGAATCGCCCGAGATGACGGAGTAAATGTGAGTTTCTGAATTCCTCTGGCCCGGGGAAGACACCGGTGTATGTAATGGGTTGTTTGCTGTAAGCCCAGAATTTGGTCTGGCAGGGGTTCCGCGGTATTGTGTACAGGCGTTCGAAGCTGGTTTATGCCTTAATTGCGCGTGGAGTTTTTGAACGGGTTTTGGACCCTTACCGTGAAGTTCAGGACTGGTGTAGGCCTTAATTGCGCCCGGAGTTCTGAAAGTCAGAACTGGTTTGGGCCTTAATTGCGCCCGGAGTTCTGAGGCTCAGGATCGGTGTGGGCCTTAATTGCGCCCGTGGTTCTAGAGCAAGTGGTGCATTAAATGCACGTACTGTAGTTCAGGACTGGTGTGGGCCTTAATTGCGCCTGGAGTTCTGAAGGTCAGAACTGGTTTGGGCCTTAATTGTGCCCGGGGTTCTGTGGCTCAGGATCGTAGTGGGCCTTAATTGCGCCCGGGGTTCTGGAGCTGAGTGGTGCATTAAATGCACG